TGTGCCTAGATCATTTGCTTCTTTCTATATCTTTATGGTTATAAATTCCTATTAAACGATATTAGTATTACGAATATTCAACAAAAAATAAGCTTATAAACCTTATTTGATCGGTGACTGTTCTGTTATTTCCCAATTTCCCAGTACATGTTAACATTCAATATTAATAAGCGAATTTTAACTATTCTGTTGACTTTTTAGACAATCGAGTTGAACACTTTATTCTAGTTTCAGGAAAAACAACTAAAATAGACAGGTATTTACTGGGTAGCTAAATTCCTTTGGGATCATTCGATATATCCATTTGAATGATATTTAGCCCGAATGGCATAATTTTACCGAAATCTACTAACCCTAAACATTATTTTAAGTACGCAGTGCATCATAAATTTACATGATAAAGCAAAAGGAGAGATATTTATCACGTGAAGGAATTTGAGAGGTAATTAGCTAAGATAGTTTTTAGAATTTCGGCCAGTAATATTCATTAGTTTGCTGAAAAATATGTTATATTCCAAAAAGGCAAACAATTTTCGAACGATCATCAAGAAAATGTATTCAGAAAAGTTTGATCCGAACTGAATGAAAGAAACAATTTTTAGACTTGCTATTAATTGAGAATGTTAAACATCGATGAATCCGTGGGAAAAAAATGTGTATTGAGGTCTCGAAGTTTATTTTTATTAAATGGCGGGCGTTATGATAGTTATCATTAGCCCTTTAGTTGACTTCAGGCTTCACAGATGGGAAGGAGCATCAAAGTGAAAAAGGTCGAGATGGGGGGAGGGCAGAAGAGTGTTTCAAAAATGTATAAGAGACAGGCACAAAGTTGGAAAAAATGTGAGGTGAGTACGGTTGAAGTAGTCGAATTTGACATACAGTGGGGTGATGGTAGTTTGGAGTCTGAAGTCAATTGCCTGTTACTAAAACCGTTAAGTTACTAATGTGTGGTAGAAAAGCCAACCGAGATGTCGCCCTTCTGCCATCTATAAACTTCACATCATATTGAGGGTAAAAAGAGTGGAACGATAAAGATATGATATTCTATTTTTATCGAGTATAGCATATCGCAGAAATTTCACATGTATAAGAGTTTTATAAAAAGTTTAGTAGCTAACGAACATTTAGATTTCCAAAGTAATTGAACTAGTGAGTTTAGACATCCAAAAATGTCAAGTTTGTTCAAAAGCGTTTTACGAAGAAAATGTCAGGAATAAAGGAAAATTGAGGGCAGAAAGAAAAAAACAGAATAAAGGAATAATGTTTGATGAAATACTTTATTAGCAATATATTCAACAGTATAAATTAGCCAACATTCGTAGCATAATTCTTTCCTCACTGAAATCAATTTGTCAACATCATCTATGGCCTTAACTTATCACCAAATTTTGATTAGCAAATCTAACGATAGCCTTTAAGATTATCTTGTAATGAAATATTCCAGGACTATTTCGCATTTATATTGACCAATACTAATGCAAAATCAGCATATGTTTTCCAGTCAAAAAAATGCACAAAAACCAATATCAAAATATAGTATGCAACAAGTTCCAGCGAAAACATTTAGAGCAGTAAATACAGAGTGTGCAAATATTTTCCCCAGGAATGCATAATACTTATGCAATAACCTTGTATGGAACAGGAAATATCAAATTCCAAATTTGAAGAAATAAACACGACATTACGCGATAAAATTGATAGACTTTAAATTTAATTGCCTACAATATTATAATAAGATTAAAATGAAATGCATGATCTCCATTTTTCAAAAACACAAAAAATTATACTACATTCCAACCAAATTGTTAGAAGCTGGGAATATAAATTTATTCATTTCATTTATAAATTTTGGAACAAATAAAAAAATTACGTTTATAGCATAACTTTAATGAAATTTAAAATTTTTGATATTTAAGTTTTAATAAGCATTTCATTCAGCAAAGGACCAATAATTTCTAGGCGTCGATATAAATATTAAGGCCTTGGTACTTTGTCCAAAATGAATTTAAGGGATCAGCCACTGTTAAGTATAGAAGAACGCCTCAAGAAGCTTGATGAAATCGATGCAAAAGTTATGCAGATTATGGAGTCTTCTGGTGGCACTCTAGATGAATTATCAAAAGATGTTCCCAATCAAAAGCAAATCGAGATCCACACTCGCAATTTTAGAACCGCCATCCGCGATGTAGAACTTGAATTAATTACCCAGCTAAATTATCTCGGCCAAGTTCTTACTGGTCTTCCATTCGAAAAGAATGTATATAGGGAAACAATGGAGGTGTCACTTGCTTCTGAGTGCTTGAAAGATGTCAAGAAAATCTTGTCTCGGTCGCTGTAAATTGCATTTTTTACAAATAAAATTAAGCTTTTTGCAATTCGTTCCCTTTTTTCTTTTACGAGGTGAAATTTTTATTGCTGGGTTTTAGTCTTTTGAAACAGGTTCGTCTCCTAATAACATACTAGCGGAGGATTTTGCTCCGCCTTCTGAAACAGATGAATCTGATCCAGTTGTTTCCAGTACAGTAAACGATTTAGAACTATACTTCGCTGAAACATCCTGCGAAGCAACTGAATTATCCGATTCCACTCCATGCAATGATCTTTGGGGCGTGGTTCCTACTAAAATGGCGCATTCCTCTCATACCACTGAAGATGACACCCCTGATATCTCAATTCATGAATTCGAAATTCCGGAATACGAATTTGATGATGAAATCTTATCTTTGCAGGGTGATATAGGTCGTTACTTTATTCAATTTTTATTTTTTGCTGAGCTGTCCTAAGGGTAAATTAGTGCTTCTTCTGTTCATGTAGATGCTGCTCCCCTTTGGGATCTTTATGGTATGACGTTATTCTGTAAAACTTCATTGTAAAATAATTTTTCGAAATTGGATAGCTCGTTCTCTACTCATCTTGATATTTCATTGTCTTTTTCTCAGCTGATGAAGATTTTAGAGTTGGTCGAATTACCCCGGATGGACTTATAGACGAAGATTTCGAGCAAGAATTAGGTTGGCTCAATAAAGTAAGTAATTTCTATTGTTGTGTATTTTCGATTTTGTAATCTTCCAATACCAATAAATTTTATTTATGTGAGTTATCAAATTTGAATGCTTTTTTTTCTTTCCATTCATAATGTGTCCGGCATTAGTTGTAACAGCTTGCTTAATTTAAGGCCTAACCTCGTATACTCCGGTAACATCTAATTTTGGCGTCCGTTAGAATCCGGTCATACTTAATTGTAATATTTGTGAATGCTTTCATCCACTAATTAGAATGCTCGCCGTGGTGATAATTACTGATTGGGAGATAGCTGTAGAGTGTCTATTTCTTCAAATTCTAGTAGACAGTAGTTGGAAAGCCATCATTATTTCTCCTATCACTTAAATGAATTTCCAAAGCGGTGAATATTGGCCAATGAAGGCTGTAATTTGCTGCCTTTCGTCGGGTTAAATTTTAAAAAAAGTTGCTTGACAAATAGAAGCTGATTTTGAGTTCAGAAAGATACATCGATCATTTTTAACTACTTAAATATGTATGCATTATTATTGTATTTTGACATTAACACATATCTATGAGGTGAATATTGATGGAATTTTACTGTTAACCAACCTGTGTATTACCTCTAATGGGTGGCTGCAGTGGCCGCATTTGTACTTTTTGGCAACTAAAATGCTATGTTATTCCCTCTTTCTTTCTTTCTGGAAATGCATGTGATAAAGCAGAATATGAGTTCACCTTTGAATGATATGAATATTCACTGTTTTTTTGTTGTTAATGGTCAATTGAAATTTCCGTTGTACAAGAAGAGAATTAGATGACTTAGAAATGGCTTTGAGGTTGTTTCTTACACAATTTAGAAAATAAAAAACATTTTCATCCGAAATGTTTATAGATTTTTTTTCATATTTATGACTTCCCACTCTCCTATTTGTTGATATTTGTAGCTATATACTCTTCAAAATTGTAATATTTTGAGGAGGTTACCGAGATTGATTAATTGCAAATAATAAAAATAAACTATTTTTTCTGTTGCGAACTATTTCGTATACAGATTCCACTTTCATTATAAAATATAAGGCATCTGAAATTATTACCCACTGTACTCCAAAAGCCTTGACCATAACCAATGACGGAGTAGAATGTCTGTATAAGGGAAGTAATAATCGAGTCAAGTAATGTATAAAATGAACGCGAGAGTTAGGAAGAAGAAGCAAGTATTGATATCAAGAAATCAAAAGCCTTTCTTTTTGAGATTCGTGTGAGAATTGAATCGGGTATGCTCGCATGAGGCATATAATTTCCTTCGTAATATTTGCTGACGTTAAAATTTCATGAAATGGCTTCCAGATCCATAAGTGAGATTAGATCCATAATATTTACAACCTTGACCATGTGATCTAGTCCTGCTTCTTGACATGCCACCTTTAATTAATTGCACCTTCTCTAGGGACAATCTATTTAAAATGTAACCTAGCATCCTAATAGTTTCTTCGGCTATCTTTACCTAATTTACAAGAATAACTGTACTTATTAAATTCGTTGAATGAAAAATAATCAAAAATTGGCTGGAAGTAGTGTGGTTGTCACTCGTGCGGTTACTAGAGGGTGGGGGAGGTTTTGATATCTCAAGATTTTAGCTCTGACATAATGAAATAGACTGGAAATGATAGAATGTACGCTTTCATCATAGACGCTTCAAGATACTACTTAATTCCTCAAAATATTTGTTGCAAAATTCTTCCCCTCAAATTGTTTGGAACTGATTTATAGCTTAGTTAAAATGATCGATGATAACATGACATGTCAAAAAGTTGCCAAGGTGCCATTTTTTCTTCAAATTTCCGAGTGTAGGCCTTCCTCCACTCCATTATTTCTGTTATTAGTTTTTTAGTGACTATTTAACATTTTTAAGCATTCTTCTTATTAGTATCGTTTGTCATCTTATTACTTTTCTATTCCGGGTAATAATCTTATAAATTGCAACCAAAACGACACGTTTTAAAAAGGCAAATATTGGTGCCATATAAATTTTGTTTAATCACTACTCTATTTACTGTGTTGTTCTCTTAAATTGTCTTCAATTGAAAAGGATCTTGATCATATTGCCATATTTCGCCCATATTTTTTATCCATTTTTTGGGAATTCGTCTTTTTTTCAATTTCATTTCATTATTAGGCAAAATGGTGCACGCTACTTTCAAGAAAATAGCTAAACTTCGAAATTCTATACAAATTTACTCTGCATTTACTAATTAAAACCCTTTTGCAATATGTATTTATCTAATCAATGTCGGTTTAAATACCAAATGTCAGTATTTCATGAAAGACGTTTCACATCCATTTATTTTCAAAGTCTTATTCCCTTGATACCTTTATGCTTTTAACCGATTAGATGGTGTGGTTATTCCATTTCAGCTCACAGAATGGCTATTTGCAATAAATGCGATTTTCATTAACGAACTCCGGTCCACGTGTTGAAGTAGATGTAAAACTGATTTCGTTGTTTGATAGATGTTAGGATCACGTTGTTATTTCTTTATCTACTTTCATTTTGCTATCCGCTCGCTTCTAATAGTTTTTCTTTGTCCCAATTTCCCTCGCATTTCTCGAACATGGAATTATGATCTAGTCGATCCTCAGCTTATTGCCTCGAAGTCGAGGAATGGTATGTGTCCATTCAAACAACAGGCTTCGTTGCCTTCTTACATATTGTAGGTTGCTTGAAGCTTCTGGAAGTTTCATTTATATTGTTTGTCTTGGATGACGCATATCCTTGAAATTATGATTGAATTGTTCAACCAGCTTGTCAGAGATGTTGAATGAAGCCTATCAGGATATTGATTACTGGTTTGAGTATTTAAATCATAATCAGTTCTTGTGTGTGCATTACTCACCCCGCGAATGGAGAATTATTTTGGCGTTTTCTTTTTGCGAATTGGGTGTGTGTGGGTGTGGGTCCTAGTCTTCTTTCAAAATGCAAATGTCCCTCATCAAAAACTGTGATGAAAACACGAGTCGGAACTGAAAGTGACACTGGCAATTTCAAAACGAGAGTTTACTGCATGTTTAAAACAGTGCTCTCTCTCTCCTTGAAAGTATGGAAATCCTTATCCTTTTTTCGAACATTCGTTTGGAAATACTAGCCATGCATTCTAGCCAAATTACTTGGGATTCAATTTTGTAGTTTGTAAAGGTAGGTAAGTGCCTTTAGTGCTGTTTTGCATTTCACCTACCGGATGAATCTATACAGTCTAGCTTTAGTTGTTTATTGAAGCCAAAATTTTTAGTAATTCTTGAGTGATCGTTTTATGGTAATGGAATGTCTTTAGGGTATTTCCGACCTGGAAAATGCAAATTTCTAATAGTCCATGTGTTCACTGTTGACGAAGGTCTCCAATTGACCTAGTAAAAATCTAATGAACTCCTATTGTCTTGATAGGTTAAGGCTTTAGTGACACTTTACGTTTAAGTTTTATCGTGATTCGCTTATTGGTGTTGTTATGTTTTCTACCTCCTATATTCATTAATAATCAAACACATCTTCATTCAATTTTTGATTAAAATCCTTTCTCGTGTGTTAGAGAATGCTTTCAGAAAGAGTTTTTTTGGAAAACGTATTACAGAATATTTGCAAATTACAGTTTTAGAAGTGACTTACGACACGTGATACCATTTGGTGTCTGTGTAGTCATTAGATCGCCTTCAAAATTTATGTTCCAACATTATTTTTAGATCTTCTATCGAATACCAATGCAATTAGTTCGACGAATTAGTTTATCTTTAATTTGCTTTTGAAATTGATTGGTAGAAAAATCGAACACTTTCTATGGCTTGGTATCAGTAAGGATACTTTTGTAAACTGAGTTCTCTCCTTTGGTACTAGCACATGTAGGGAAATAAATGTTCTCACGGAAAGCTCACATTCTACCCTCTTTTGTTGATCTGAATTAATTATTGAGGCTTATCTTTTGCATCACCAATGCTCAAGGCTGGTCGTTAATCTTGCCTCCTCTAGTTTCCCACCTGTGCGCTGGAAATGAACAATAATGGAGATCGTAGTTCGTCTTTATCTTGATTTACATTAACGTAGCCACATTTGTTCTAGTTAATTATCGGGGTTTTTATTGCAACCCAAGCATCTATAAATTCTCCCTAATTTAGGCACGTTTGCCTCAGGCAATCAACTGTAAATGCTACTAGCCATTGGCTTCAATCAATCTGATTGGCTAGGCTGGTACTTCTGTTTTATATCAAACATTTAGACTTATTTCAGGACATCCTCTTCTACTGTTGATGAACAATGTGGAAATGCTCGGTTATTGTTGTCAACGAGAATAAATCCTATAGCATGTCATTTGCTGCAGATGGTGGGTTACTGTCTCCTTTAAAAGTTTTCCTATTCTGGAAAAATATTTACTTGGTTCCAAGGTTTTTTGCTCTTATCAAATTGTCACGGTATTTAATGACCTTGTAATCCATTCACGATTACGTCTCTCCTTGAGCTGCCTATTGATTGCCGCACATTTAACATTCTCTGTTTAATGCGAACAAATTCACAGACCCATTAAACCAGCTAATTGATAAGCCTGTTCCGTGTTCCAACTTCCATTTTATTTCGTTTTTAAAAAGCACACTGTTAAAAATGTGGCGGTTCACTAAAACCTATCAGGTAACTCCCGGCCTATAAGGTGACAGGGTTTTCATTATGACACCTTTTCTCCCCTACCCCTCCCCCCCCCCCCCCCCCCCCCCCACCTCCCTCGTTTCAAACGCAAATCTACCGGATTTTCTTCCACACCAAAGGTTGCCTAAGTGAATGCAGTCATGCAGTTTCAATCTATTCTGTTTCTTTTAATATGACTTGAGAGTTATGGCTTGCGTTCATTTGGGTTTGTCAGCTATCGCATTTTTATTTCGAGTTGCAAACCGATGTTTCAGAGGAGCAGAAGGTACACACATGAATTCGTGTTGTTAAAGCGTACACAATTATGACATTATTTGGCATTACTTTTAATCAATGTGTCCAAATATAAAATAAAATTTCGATTTTGCCAGGGAAAATTAGTTAACGATTTGCTCATAAATGTGTTCTTTTTTGTCTGGACAATGTCAGAGCCGGAATTGTAATATCATTGGAATTTCTTATTATGCCCTTAGTTATACCCCTTTAAGCGGGTAATTCGAGAGCATTTATGCGTTTGGGTGAGCTGCATTATCAAAAAATTATCTCCACTTTAATTTTTTTATCGCATAATTTTAGCCATCCACTTACGCGCCTCCTGCATTCATGCCCATATGC